TGCAGGAAACCATCTTCAACATGTCTTCTGGAACACTAGTAATGCAGGCAAATGGTAAGACTCCTTGGTGCAAAATCTAGACTTGGATGTGAGATCGCTTTAACTTGATGATCTTTGTATCTCAGTATATGTTCACAAGGGGCGCAGTAGCCAAGCAGTTAAGATGCTGGGCTTGGGTTAAGGAGCTCACTTTGTCACATGATACTTAAGCCTTGGAAGGTTGGCAGTTCGAGTCCTAAGTACCATGTGATGGCGTGAACGTCCATTCATTGCCCCAGCTCCTGTCCACTGAGCAGTTTGAAAACATACAAATGCAAGTAGACTGAGGTACATTTCGGTGGGAAGGTAACAGCTTTCAGTGTGCCTTCGATGTATAGTCATGCCAGCCACATGATCACACGAGTGTCTTCAGACTCTTTGGCTGTGAATCAGAAATGAGCACTACCTCCTACAGTTGGATATGACTGGAGGGAAAACCTTTGCCTTTTATCTTTTTTTTTAAGATATTCACACTTCTTAATATTTTGATACAGTAATGAGATTTAGTGTCTGAAAGTAATGTTCACATTTTTCTTAATCTGCAGAATAGCAAACCTTAGGATAGTTTAATTTAAACACACACACAACACATCCAAATGCTGCCCCCCCCCCCGCCCCCCCAAAAAAAACAAGGAAACCACCCAGCTCTACTCACTTTGTGTTTTTGCCCTCAATGTCTGCATCATGCTTAGGGGTTCTTCAATAACGGGATCCCATTCTACGAAGTCTAGTTTGGACTTAGGACTGGAAATCAACATGAAAATCCTCTTTTCCTTTTTTGCTTAATTGCACTACATAACATACACAACACACGCTCCATTTTTTTTTCTTCCACAAAGGAGACTTCATATGACTTGAAAATGGGTGCTCATTTTGAGATTCTACATTCTGGAAATCACTACTGTTTCCAATCAATAGCAACGTTTGCCTTTTTTCTTTTACTGCTGGAGAAATCTTTAATGATCAGAAGCTGTACTTTCGCTGCTGCCACTTTAATATTGGACAGTAGTGTTTTCGTACATTTTCATGATGCATACATAGGCCTCAGATGTATTGATATTTTGACGACATACAAATGCCTGGAATATGTTGAAACTTGCACTTCAGTTTATAAGACCTTTTTTTCTGACCTGATGTTTGGGCATGAAAGATTTATACATTGATCTTCAACATGACACTCTAGTCACTGACACTTAATATTTCTCCTCTGTGCTGGAACATTAGTTTGTAAGCCGTTGCTAGATTCTGTTTGACATGTCTGAATCTTGTGGGTAGCATTTGGCACATTTGGTGCCAAGCGATTCTCGTGTTAATCAAAACAGAGAAGCCTTTTTTTTCAACCTTCTTCCTTGCTAAAAATTTGACTAGTGTACAGTATATGTGCAAATTCCACCATTATTTTCCCAGCAATAATAATATCCTCAATCCCATATTTTTCCTTATGCTGAATGTCTTATTAAAATATTGACAAAAGAGGAATGACTGTTTCCTACAGTGTAGCTTTCAGATTGTTGATTTCTCCATTGGTGGAGGTAGTAATCATGAATCACACAAATAGATGTTTAAATCTACGAAGATTCCTGTGTCAATATCTCTGTGACATTACTCTTTCTGGTCCATGACTAATCTTGATTTAATTCCATCAGATTGACTAACTCTCTTTTAAACTGCTTTGTTTTAGAATTATCCCCTAGGTATTGTTATACCCTTCCAGGAAACGATAGTCCCAGCTAATAGTAGTAACATTTCCAAACCATACATTATTGAACCAACAGGTTTTAATTCTTACTACACAATCACTTGTGATCCTGGATGGCCTGACTAACCTTTAGGAGCAGAAAATTTAATCATACATATTGAATTAAATATTTTGGCAAGTATAGAGAATTTAGATAAAAGATATGCTTCACAGTGAAGCATTTTTTAACCAAATCTGTCTGTAAAATAATGCTCTTACACTGTTCCTGAAATCCCTTCAGATTTCTTTTTCATTATTAGAGAAAGTTTAGTATTACTTCACCAGGAGGAGTTTATTGTGTAGCCCTTTGAATTAAAATTTCTTATTCGGTTCCATCTCTAGTAGTCATCTTAGGTCCTCCTTAGGTCTGTTCTGCTTTCTTGTCAACTTGGAGACAGATGTGGAGATGGTGAGCGTTTAAGGTGTATTCCACAAATGTTGCCAGTAACTAGTTTCATCTCTGAGTTGCTGCTGTCCCTTTCTGAAGAACTTTTAAATAAGGGTGAGTTGGTGATTGTACCAACTCCACAAAAAGCCAAGAGAAGTCACAACTTTGGTGAGACTTGAAGATGTTTAAACCTGCCCTTCAACATGTATCAAAACAATCTAGATTACTGCTGAGACTAAATATGCTGCCTTTTTTTAAATTAAAATTTGTTTTGTTGAATAACCACACTGATGAGGGGAATGTATTGATCACAGCTTCCACTCTTTACCAGGCGCATGAACAAGAAAAGCTCAAAAGTCTTCTATTAGGAATAGCCTAATGGGGTTATTCTGGGTTATTGCCCAGAATGAGTCCCCCCCACCCCGTCTTCCCCTCCAAGTTGGTATCAAGCCTTCTTTCCTGAGAATTATATGATGTTGGTAATATAAGTGACCCTCTCAAATTCCACAGCAATGATCACTTGTGAATTAGTCTGACTTATTTGATTATATCAGATGACCTAAAAGAGCTAACTTGGTAGAAGTGTGAAAGGGGAGAAGCCTCTTTGGGTGACCTAAGGAATTCCCCAGATCAACAGCTCTGCGAGCTATCTTAAGGTCTTCCAACCACTACCCACCCCTCCTAAGTAAGTAATTACTAACAAACAAGTCTTCATCCCCCCCCCCCCCATTCTGTCTGGCCTATACAATGATCTCATTTCTTGGTTTTAAGAGCTCAGATACTATCTTCCATTGCTATAATCTCTAAATAAGAAGTGTTTGGGCTGTTTACATTAGTAAAGATTACAACTCTTACATAAGTTAATATGGCTTTTTCCAATCAACATTAGAGGGACACGAGATCCAGGAAACAATGTGCATTTCTAGATAAATTTGTCCCTTCAGCCCAGTGGTAGAATGCATAGTTTGCATCCCCTACATCCTAAATGCAACCCTGAAGTTCCAGTAGGCCTGGGGTGCTAATATTTTGTGAAGTTCCCAATCAACAGTGGACAAAATTGTTCAACTGCAGCTTTTAGAGGCTCTAGAAGTCATGGTCAGTGTTGAAAGATACTGGGAGTATTCAGCAATATGATCCAGAATTTTCCCTTTTCTATCTTACTCAGATTTTGTTCTTCAAACAATTCTGGGAGTAGAGTTCCCAGAATTGCAAGGTTGAAAAGTTGTTCGCTATGCAACGTGGGAATAACGATAGGTGCAAAAATAATATGTAAGAAAATGTAGGGTAAATGGCTCAATAGTCTGATTTACTCAAAGGCCATATTATAATGCTTTATATTTCTCATCATCCAAAATCTGAATTGTTTATTATAGCATACAGAAACCTCCATAACTAGCTTTATTTTTCTGGGAGGGTGTCAGTATGTTAAAATCTGATATTCAAGGCATAAGACCATTAGGTTTCTTAAGTTTGCCCTCTTCTCCAAAAAAATGTTCTGCATTTTGCAATTCTTTTCCATTGACTGTATATTACGAAAGAAGAAGAATCAAATTGCAGTTCTCAGAAGACAAATATGAACTAGCCAGACATTCTAGATTTTGCAGTCTTGTATTGCTGGCATTTCAGTTTGGTTAGCGTTGCTAGTTCTAATGAAAACATCTATTTTTATTCAGTTAACTAGCATGTTTCGCTCTTTTAAACAGCGTATGCAAGAGTGTAAAAGAAAAATCTAATAGAAGTTGAACATTTATTGTGAAAGAAAATGGTGAGAAACAATGCAAGTACCTGATCCTTATGGTCAATCATTTCATGGCATAAACAGGGTTTTGGATGAAGGCAAAATGAAATGGATGCTCCTCTATTTGCCCCTCAGAGTCCCTATATTATATCTTTTACAACCCTCTGAAAAAACTTTTCAAAATGCAATTAGCTATATTTTATTTTGCCTTCCTCCTGAGCCTGTTCCCATATATACAAGGAATTTTCCCTCTGAGCTGTACTGGTTTAGTTCCTAAACCAGCATTCCACTAGAATACAACTTGGGCTTGGGGAAGGGGTTTGGGAGGGGGGGGAAACATTGACCCTGCAGGATGTCTCCTTCAGTTCCTTCAAGGCTCAGTAAAATGAGCAGGTTTAGTGGCAAAGAGATGCAGAAAACAACCCCATTCTATAAATTTACAGTCTTTGGGGGCAAGGAAATGTTTTGCATGAAATGGGGGATAAAGAGGTTACATTTTTCCAGGTAATTTTCCAATTAGGACACATGTATCCAATTTGTCCTGGGTCAGAACAAAACGGGCAAATCTGCTTAACAGAAACAAATATTGGTGCCTTATCAGAAGTGTTCAGATTCACAGACATACAATATGCAATATCGGTACAGTATTCCATATATAGCATAGCCTTTCAGTTATCCTTACAGCCATATCAAGACTTGTGTTCGAACTGTGTAGATAAAGGCTTTGAAATCAAAGTTTATTCAGAAAGACACATTTTTGAATGAGTTCCAAGTTCACTAGAATTACATCTTTCATGAAATCCTCCCCATTCTCTTGCACAGCATGAACAAAGTGCCTGCAACTTTAACAGGAGCATAGAATAGGATGTACTCAACCGCTGCAGTTTATCTAAATGTCTGATAAAATCATTGGATGATGCAATACATACTGATGAGTGCAAAACAAAAATAGAAGCAGGCTAGTGCGAAAGAAAGCTACTTCCCTCAGCAGCAGCAGTGGGGGTATCTGGAGTATTTCCTGCTGAATGTCGGCCTAATACCTATAGAACCAGAGAACCTTTGGTTTTAGAAAAAGAGCCGGCCTTTGCGGTGCCGTCGGCTCGGGGCAGGATGGCTTCTAGCTGAAGACGATTCCTGGCACCACTGCCGCTGTCACTCCTCTCTTCCCCCTTCCCCGCCCGCCGCAGACGTGATACTAAAGCCGCTTGGGCCAGCTGCCCTAAATAGAAGCTGCCGGCATGGAGCAAGCGACAGCGGCCCAGGCCTTGGAGCAGGTAAGGCGCTGGCGGGCGGTGGGGCGGAGAGTCCCACAAACAGCAAGTCGACGGTTCCGGGATCGGTCCCGTCCCGCCCAGAGAAAGGATTCGCAGCGATGGCTCCAAATGACATCTGTCTGTCTGTGTCTCTTGTCTGCTGGCCCGGGGCACATCCTGCAGCCAACATCGCCACCTGCTTTCTGCTGCCCGGAGAGCAAGGTCAGGATAGGGTTAATAGCCGTAGGACTTGTCAGGCTACAAGCTTGAGCCCCCAAAGCTCTCGCCGAGGTTCAGCTACGAAACGGATTTGTGTACAACAGGGAGCAACTGCACAACGCGAACTTCCCCTCCGAATCCCACCCCTGCTTCCCAAATGTGCCTCGGCTTTGTGCTACTGAAGCACCTTGTAGCTTAATACTGATTCTGCCTGTCAATTTTCTCATTAGATGCACCCCCACCTCCCTCCAGTTTTCTGTATTTATTTCTGGAGATATATCCTCCCCGTTTCCTTTCTAACCCCTCCTGGTTTGGTTTTGTTTTAATTTCTGATATATCTTCTCCTTAGCTTTCTTTATACTCCACCTCCCCCAGCCTCTTTTCCTGGTGCTGATGTAGAACTGACTCTACTTGTTAGGAATATAAGTCACCTAACAGGTATTTGGGTTAGCAATATATAAACCAGGATAGACATTTTAATACTGTCTCTTTAAGAGAATCCTAAAAGTGTAATTGGGTGTGGTTTCTCAAACTGTCATAAGATGGAACCAGAAACCTGGGTTGTCTTAGTCTTAGTCTCAGAAGAGAGTGTGTCTCCGTTTCCTTCTGTTGGAGAGTTTTGCCTTCCTTCTAATTGACTGATATTCTTGGATTTGCTGTAAGTGTGATACTGAACTTTTTTTTGATACTGGAATTTGTTATTGGATTATCCCTGGACTGAAAACTGACTGATTTAACCTGTGAATGACTTTGGACTGTGTTTGAACTTTGCTTAAACCTTTATTGAAAGTAAAAAAAAAACCCTACATTTACTGTACAGTGTATCTGTGTGCTGTGTGTGTATTATTCAAACACTACTCTCAAATACGTCTCCCTGTATGCGCTCATTCTCCTAACGGGGAATTACCTCAACACTACTGGAATGTAATATCTCAGCAGTAAAGACTGGGATGGGACAGACAGAGTGTTAGTGGGTTTTATTATTGTTGTGGACTGCCCAGATGAAGATGGGACGCCATATATGTCCAATCAGTCAATCAATGTGCCTAGCAATGGGGCATTTCCACACTTGTTCCAACCTCACAGGATTGTTGTAAGGAAAAAGAGGGTACACCACCCAGAACTCCTGTACAATGTAAATCAAATTAAAGAGAAGTTTTCTTTGAATTCTATCCAAGAATGGCCTCAAGGTGTAAAATTTGTTAGGCACCATTACCCAATACCTTGGAGCAGGGGTGGGATTCGAAAATTTTAACTGGTTCTGTGGGCATGGCTTAGGTGGTGGGTGTAGTTTGGTGGTCATGTGACTGGGTGGACATGGCTGGATGGTCATGTTATTGGCTGGGTGTGGCCAACTCAATATCACTCACATCGAGGCCCACATCTCCTCGCCTGGCTTCTCATGACTGTGGGGATGCTGCAACCGTCGTAAGTGTGAAAAATGGTCATAAGTCACTTTTTTCAGTGCCATTGTAACTTTGAATGGTCACTCCACACAAGCAAAGTACCAGCAAAGGAGGGGGAAAAAACTCCAAAGAAGTTCCTGAGACAGGAAGTCTAGTCCTGCCAAGAATGTAATAAGGGTTAACGGAGAGGCAGTTTCTGTAAGCAACACCAGAATGTTTTCTTCCTACCTTCCTTACAGGATTAGGCCAGTAATTTCTTCTAACAACCGGTTCTCCAAACTGCTTAGAATGTTAACAACCGGTTCTAGTGAATAGGTGAGAACTGGTAGAATCCCACCCCTGCCTTGGAGGGAAGTCCAAGGAATAATGGCAAAATAGGTGTCAGTAAGATGGAGGGCAAATTTCATGCAAGTACTGTTTTTTGCTGACTCAAGGATAGTGAGTAGAAGTTCTTGGTATGTTAAAGAATTTTATATTCCGGGTGCTTCTTAACTCATGAGTGTGATATTGCAGCCTAGTCTGATATAATAATGGAAGTTCTTGTACTGTTTAACAGTACTAGAAATAATAAAACATTTTAAAACAATTGTGTAGAAGCATGCTCTATCTCAGAAATATATTTCTACATCTCAGATTATATGTATGTGTGTGTGTGTGTGTGTATATATATATATTTGTTTTCTTAAGTTTTCGTGGGTATTTATATGTATGGTGTTCAGCTTTGTTTGGGTATTTTCCCACGTCATAGTTGTGCTTTTAAAGTTGTAGCAGCGTTTTGGCAGAATCTCATCTGCCATCATCAGGCTTCTGTATAGACTTCACAGAAGTCCTGTCATGCCATCCTGGAAGCAGGTGCCATTTTCGGAGTGGCCGCAGTGAATTGTGGCCGCTCTGAAAAGACTACTGTGTGGTCTCCATAGTCTATGTATAGGGAGACAGAGGGGGTGGATTGGCTGGCTCTCCTTGCCAAAGATGATCTATGGACAGGTAGTTCCAATGGTGGGATTCAATTTTTTTTACTACCGGTTCTGTGGGTGTGGCTTGGCTTGGTGGATGTGGCTTGGTGGGCATGGCAGGGGAAGGATACTGTGAACTCTCCTTTCCCTCCCCACCCCACTAACCTGCTTTCTAGCTCTGTTCTCCTGTGCAGGGCAACAAAAGAAGACCCAGCCGATTAGCTGGGACTCTGGAGGCAGAGAATAAATGGTGGTGGGGCCAGTCAGAGGTGGTATTTGCCAGTTCTCCGAACTCCTCAAAATTTCCGCTACTGGTTCTCCAGAACTGGTCAGAACCTGCTGAATACCACCTCTGGGTAGTTCATTATGGCCAGCTACATCCAAAATGGTGCCCACTTCTGGAGGGAGCCTTAGGGCCAGATCTTTGGAGAAGGAACTTTGCTTAAGGCTTATGGGGCCCAAAGTTCCCAGTCTCTCATATATATACTGTATATATACATATAAATGACATATAACTTTCTTTAACAGATAGGATAACTTGGTCTGGGTGTCCTTATGTCCTCCTTGGTGGATTTATTATGAACTTGTGCAAGATTTAAGCTTCTGTCTTCACTGTGTTCAATATTTCCTAGGTGTGATGGAGGAAATAGAGCCATGGAAGTGGTAAGGAAATATCTGAAAGGCTTATTTGCAAAATTAAGAAGGGCTCTCACTTTTGTCTTGTTTTGTTTAAATCCTATTATTATTTAACTTGATTTGGTTTCATAGACCTGGATGAAAAAGATAGGATGTCCTCTCATCATGTAGACTTACAGTGTATGGTTCAGGTCTGTAGCATTCAGATCCTAGAAGCTGCACTGAGCATAGATGTAACAAACCCCTGTTTAACTCTGTCCTTTTCTCTTTGGCCTTCAGGTGCCATCATTGAACAATGGCCTCGAGCATCAGGAAGAAACAGGTGAGTTGTGTCCTGGATTTGTCCATTGATGGGGTAACCATTGTCAACTCAGCTGATGCTAATTAAAGGCATTTGTGCCAGGGAAGATTAACTGGATACTAATTGCCTGTTTAGGGGGGGGTCTTCTAAAACTGCTATTCACATTATTTAGAGTACCCACTATTTATGTGGCAACCCCATGTAGCAAGGTTGTTTTCTTTTTAGTTTAATACTGCTTAATACTACTCTCTCGGTCTCCTCCATATCCAGATGCTAATTTCCCCCTATTTCAAATAATCTTGTAGTTTTCATATAGGGAATTTGGGTTTGTTGCTACTTAATTGCATTCCATTTCAAACAAATCAAGAGACATTTGACCTTAACTGGATTCAAAATTCAAGTCTGGGTTTAAGTTTCTTGGCCAAATTGCAATATTTTGCAGCTTCTGTTTTCCTTCTGTCAAAGAGGAATAATGGTGCCCTATCTCACTGGGTAGTTATGAGAGTATTCAGTGGGGATTATACAGCTACAGTTTACGATAGCAATTGGGACTGAAATTGCTGCCACTAAGTGATGTCATGAAGTGCAACATCATCTGACCACATTGCTTAGCAACTACAATTCCAGCAATCCCAGTTGCCATCATAAAATGAGGACTATATAGGTTGTTAAGTGAGGACTTCATGTGACTGTGACTTTTAATTTTCTGCTGCTTCTGCATTGACTTTGCTTGTGAAAAGCTAGCAGGGAATATTGGAAATTGTGATCACATAACCTCAGCTTGTTGCAACATTATAATCATGATCTGGGCGCAGAACATGTGGATTACAATCATGTGTCGGTGAGGATGCTGTGATGGTAAAAACAATGAGGACCCATCATAAGTATTATTGTTCAGTGCCATCATAACTTTGAATAAATGCTGAACAGATAGTTGTTATCCAAGGGCTACTTAATAAAGTTGTTCAAGTGTCATAGACATGTATTCATAAGTATACAGCTCCCTCACTGCCAATTTTAAGAAGCAATTAGATAAAAGTTCTTCCCTTTGGTAAAAAGCTTTTTTCTTACATATATTCCATAGCTGTCCTATTGTAATAAGAGAATGCCTACAGAAAATCTGATGTTAGTACATCTATGGTTTTCTGCTATTTGAAAACATAATAATAATTGTGGCATTAGTCGGAGACAGCAGAACAGAACACAAGGAACTGGAGAAGATTACTGGTGCAGTGGTTAGAGTGCAGTACTGCAGCTACTTCTGCCGACTGCCAGCTGACTGCAATTTGGCAGTTCAAATCTTACCAGGCTCAAGGTTGACTCAGCCTCCCATCCTTCCAAGGTGGGTAAAATGAGGACTCAAATTGTTGGGGGCAATATGCTGACTCTGTAAATCGTTTAGAGAGGGCTGTAAAAGCACTGTGGAATGGTATATTAAGTCTAAGTGCTATTGCTATTACAAAATACAAATACTTGCCAGTAGAAATAGAATAACTGTGGCAAAATAAAGCAAAGCAATAGTAATAGACACCTTGGGTACAATCCCAAAATAATTGCAGCACCATTTGAACATCATTGGTATTGATAATTATTAGTCAATTGCAAAAGACATCTTGTATCTTGTAATAATATCTACAACATTATCAAACATCCATATCTGCCTATCCCAGATCTTTGGGAAGGTCTCGGTAGGCAGATAAAAATGCCAAATCCATTCTGAACATCTGACTGACCATGTGACAAACCATAATAATAAATGAAGTGAGTACTTATTTTCTAATGGTCAGGTGGAATATATAAATGAGTGATGGTCAGTATAATCATAATTGCTGCAAGAATAGGTTTGTTTCTTTGCACAATTAATTTCAGCCCAGCATATGCCTGCTTGCAGCTTTATATGATTAACATCACAGCTGTAGACTTAATGAGATGGACAGAAGTTTGGCTTGATTCAAAAGGACAGCATGACTTTTATTCATTTATGAAAGATCTTTCAATGTTTTGATTTACAATGCTTGCCCACTAGGCCCCGCCTCATCTCTGGACATTGAGGAATCTGCTTTGAAAGCCAATGTTGTTGTGCAGGAAGCCAAGGATTTGACTGCCAGTGACAAAGAAGTGAATTTGATAATGACAAATGTAGTGGCAGATGGCAGAACTGAGAGGCAGGACCCAGAGCCAACGGTGTTTGATGCTGAGACTGCAACACACATTGGCAAAGTGACAGCTGCAGATGCCATTGCTGTTGAACTGGATTTCAAGTCAACCCATTCAGAGACCAAAGACTTGGACAGAGCTCACAGCAACAGTGGAGCAGGCAATGACATGATACCCCAAGGTAGGATTAAGGATTGGAGTACCACAGCAAGCACACGGATTTCAGAAGATACAGGTCAGTTTAACAAAGGCACAGTCCTGAGTCCCAGCACTGGAGTAACATCAGAGGACACAAAGCTTGAACAGGCCAAACAGGAAGATGATGATGATGTCATTTCCCTCGACTGTGAAATTCTTGGGTTTGGTCCTGATATTGAATTCCTGGGCCCAGATGCTGAAATCTATATGCAGTTCATGCGGAGTCATCGCTGTTATGATGCTATTCCCACCAGTTCCAAACTGGTCGTGTTTGAGACCACTCTGCAGGTAAGGAGGATACAGGTGTTTTGTGAACCATGTAGTAATTTGAGGAGGGACTGGGGGAATATTGCTATCTGATTATATTGCTGTCTGAGTCTGCTGGGAGCTTGGTATCTTAGATGTTTATTTACTTACTTGAGTTTATATGCTACTTCGGTCTAAAGATTCTTTAAGTAGCTAACAATGCTCTAATATAAATTAGGTTTAAAAATATGCCATAGCAAACAGTGTAAAGGCTCATCCTCTTTTCAACTTTGGGAATAGCTGCTGTATATTCATACTTCCATTCTATTTCCAAAGGACTTATGGAAGCTAGGTCTTCACACCTTCTGAAATATCAACAAGGCTAGAGTCATCTTTGTCTCTGGACATAGATTGTTCCTAGGAGGGTAGCCATACGGGAGAAGGGACATTCATGGATTTCTCTTGTTGACACCCTTGAAAGGGAAACATGTTCAGGATGCTCTGCCATCCAGCATTTTCCAGAAGGCTGAATTCTCTTCAAAAGTGTGTGCCCTCTTAGATAACGGGAGGGCTTTGTATGTTATAAGCAGGACCTTGAATTGCACCTTGAAGCTTCCCAACAACCAATGCAACTCTTGCAGTATTGGTGTCACATGGGTACATCAAGCTCAACCCATTACCAGACAAGTAAGTCAGTGTTGGGATTCAATTTTTTTTACTACCGGTTCTGTGGGCGTGGCTTGGTGGGCGTGGCTGGAGAAGGATACTGTAAAATCTCCAGTCAGAGGGAGTATTTGCCCATTCTCCAAACTGCTCAAAATTTCCACTACCGGTTCTCCAGAACTGGTCAGAACCTGCTGAATACCACCTCCGAAGTAAGTGCATTTTGAACCGTTCTATACCTTCTGAATAGTTGCAAGGACATCCAGGAAGGCATATTACAGTAGTGTTTAGGTGGCTAGGATGAGGAAACGGTGGGCTTGCTGCCATCTTGGTTACATCTTTTTTTTATGCTGCTGCAAAATTTGTTCCTCATTCACATTGGAAAAGGAAAGATTGCACATGAGAACATTTTATAAGGAGCCCAAATGTAGCCTCAATCTTTGGTACAATCTCAGGCTCACTGGAAATTATTCTGCAAAGAATCAACTTGAGCATATTTACAAGTATTTATCTTGCCTATCAACATGACCAGCATTTGATTTATTTAACGTGAGCAAAAGCTATAAAACAATGGCATAGCTGGTTCACAAGAATATAGCTGTTCCTGGGTGTCCCAAAGGTGTTTTTTTTCAAGAGTCAACTGGACATTCTGGTTTTTCTTTGAAGACATTTTGTTTCTCATCCAAGAAGCTTCTTCAGCTCTGACTGGATGGTGAGGAATGGAAGGATTTATACTCTTTGCAGACAGCTGGTCAATTGTATTCTTTTAGAGAGTCGTTGAGGCCACCTGGAGGTTTGTCTGTGTTGTCAGAGTCATCTGAGTAGTGCAAATGGGTGTGGAGTCTTCTTGGAACTGTTGAAAGGACTGTGCTGTAGACTGGAGATAGATGATGTTGTATTCCTTCCCCTCTGTTGAGAGGGGGCTGTTCAATTTTGACACAGATGGCCTCTTTGACCCCTCTTTCAAACCAGGTGTCCTCTCTGTCCAAAATGTGGAGATTGCTGTCTTCAAAAGGGTGGCCTTTGTTTTTTACCTTGAAGCGAAATGTCTTCAAAGAAAAACCAGAAAATCCAGCTGCCTCTTGAAAAAAGCACCTTTGGGACAGCCATGACCTGGATGACTGAGAATCTCCATAGACACTATTCCTGGTTGTTTTGCATGAGAATTCCTTGAATTGACCGGAATGCTGCATTAGAGGTGACCACTCTGTCAGTAGAATATATCTTCTATTATACTCGTTGTAGAATACCTTATGCCACCAGACTTGAAATTCTAGAACTAGAAAACCTTGAATTACGCCGTCTTCGGTCTGATTTAAGCATGGTATATAAAATCATACATTGCAATGTCCTACCTGTCAATGAATACTTCAGCTTCAACCATAACAACACAAGAGCACACAATAGATACAAACTCAAAGTAAACCGCACCAAACTTGATTGCAGGAAATACGACTTCAGCAATAGAGTGGTCAATGTCTGGAATACTCTACCCGACTCTGTAGTTTCTTCCCCAAACCCCCAAAACTTTAACCTTAGACTGTCTACTATTGACCTCACCCCTTTCCTAAGAGGTCTGTAGGGGGCGTGCATAAGCGCACCAACGTGCCTACCGTCCCTGTCCTATTGTTTCTTATTCTTCTTTTATTTTTCTTATATGTACCCATTTCATGTATTCACAACTATGTATACACTTATACTTATTATCTTGTAAACAATTGGCAAATCAAATAAATAAATAAAAAAATAAAAATATTATCAAAGCAAAGAAATGCAGAATAAAGAACCAACCCTGAGTCGGTCTTTCCTTGTCCACTGTGCAAGGTTAAATCAGGCATTCCCTACGGAGACAGGGTGCGGGGTGGGCCACAGAATGCAGCCCCAACCAATCTGGTTTCTGTCTCTTGTCCCAGATTAAAAAGGCGTTCTTGGCCCTGGTGGCTAATGGGGTGCGAGCCGCTCCTCTTTGGGACAGCAAGCAGCAGTGCTTTGTGGGTAAGTGATGCAACTGAATGAACAGCAGAGGCTGAACGCAGCAAAAGTTGGACATGGCAAAGATGGAGAGAGGATTTGGGATTGCCACTCTTTCAACAGTTTTTCCCCGAACGCCATCATTCTGCTAAACAAATAATTCCCTCAACACTGTCCAACTATTTACAAAGTCTGCACTACTATTACTGTTAATCTTCTCATCCCTCCTTATCACCCATCCCCTCCCACTTGTGATTGTATGACTAACTTTATCGCTTGTATCCTTACGATTTATATGGACTGTTTCCTAGTATGATTTGATTGCTTATTTGTACCCTATGACTATTACTAAGTGTTGTACCTTATGATTCGTGACTCTTGATGAATGTATCTTTTCTTTTATGTACACTGAGATCATTTGCACCAAGACAAATTCCTTGTGTGTCCAATAAAGAGTTCTATTCAAACTATATTAAGGAGAGTCAAGGAGGCAGAATTTGATGCATGCAGACATTTTAAGGTTCATCCACAAATCCTGCTTGCCACAGCATGAAATGCTTGCCAAGAACCTGCCCTCAAAATGCACCTTCACTTCATGGCCAGCCTGCTGCAGAGACAGATTAAAGTTGGTAAAATGGCCAGGCATGAACATAGTGTTTTCCTTCTTAAGCTGGCATCAGATCACTCATCCACATAATCCATGGTTTATGGAAAAGGAACCTTCACAGGTCAGTCATCTGTGCAGTAATAGTTGGCCTACTGCAGAACCACCCCTACCTCTGGCTGCTGGGGTCTTCATCACTGGGATTATTTGTGCTGTGGCTGCCAGAAAGATTACACGCCTTCCCGGCACAAATGTTTTTTTCGTTTAGAGGCAGCACTGGTAGTATTGACCTCACGTAATACAACATGCAGTAATCCCCTCAGTAAATCCAACATGAAATCAAACCCAAAGGATCCTACCTACCATTCGCAGTCATATTTGTAAAAAGAATAACTCTAGAAGGAAACTGGTTATGGTATATGAATTGACTATAGACATATTTGGACACATTTTTCCTGGAACTGCCGCAGGCTGTTTTAGATGCTTACTTTCATTGTAGTGCTTTCCTTTGAGGGGACTACAAATCACACCATAATTTCACTTTACTGAAAACATGTGGATAATTTTATTTATAAAACATTATTATTTTATTATTTATTTTATATTTATAAAATTTATTAGCCGCCCATCTTACCATAGAATAACTCTGGGTGGCTTACAGTTACATATAAGCTAAAATATAAACAGTTAAAAAGAAACATTAAAACCAAAGACACATGGGGAGGGCAGAGGCAGAGGGTGTGTGTGGGAGAGATGGGGTCTGTTATTACTCAATCAACCACCTCCATTGCACTGGGGCCCCAAGCTGACTGGCAGAGCCATGTCTTTAGGCCCTTACAAATAGATAGGAGGTTTGGGGCAACAGCAGAGAAGGCCCCACTCATGGATCCCATCAGCTGGAATAATCAGGCTGACAGGACCCGCAGCATGCCTCCTCTGCCAACAACAAGTGGTACAGGCCAATCCCAGTGGAGTGATACAATCCCTCAAGTAACCTGAGCCCATGCCATGGAGAGCTTTAAAGGTGATCACCAATACCTTGAATTGCACCTTTAAGTCTTTAAAATATCAATTTTAACATTTTGGGTCCGTTCTATTGCCTCATGCATTGATGCCTGTTTCAATTAAGGTTGGAGCAAGCAATATTTTAAACACACACACACACACAAACTTTAAAAATTGCAAATGTTATAGTATTTACAAAACTGGGAGGATGGAAAGGAAGTAGGATGCTTGCTCAGCAAAATAGGTCTGTCAATAGCCTAGAAGAAACTGGGTGCGCTTATTTTATTTCAGTAGAAATAAGAAAGAATAAGTTGCCAAATTTGTGCTTTGTTCCCAAATTTCAATCGTGAGTTCCAGGGGCCCATGTGGATCTTGTGACCTGTGAGCTCTAACATACCCCTGGTTAGATCATTCAAACTCTTCTCCCAACCTACCCTTTGATGGCTAGTGTTTATGGGGCAGGAAAAATGGATAGCACTCCATACTAATGGCAGCAGGAAAGGGTAAATCATTAGGAGTGTAGAAATGCGGAAATCAGCAAGAGGAGGAGGCATAATTGACTATAAGAAGCCACATATAATGTAAGTTCTGTTAGGCAGTTTATAGCCCGCAGCCCATGTCCTGCAACCTCTGTGTGTGTATAAGTGTCATTCATTCATTCATTCATTCATTCATTCATTCATTCATTTTACCTTCTCTCCTGCAGGTATGCTGACCATCACTGATTTTATTAACATTTTACATCGCTATTATCAATCTCCTCTGGTGAGTTTTCCAGTACCTTAACATCTTCTCAAATCTGGAGGAAAGTGGCTTTAGACAGTTTTGTTGAGGGGGACTGGAGAGAAGAAGAGAGGAAACAAATTGGGACAACCACCCAAAATTAAGTTGCAGGCATGAGCTGTTCCAGATTTGGGATTCTAAGAGTTGAGTCTTTCAGCTGGAAAAATGGGTAGGTGAACAAAAACGTTTCAAAATGGAAACCAAGACACATCACAAATTGCTTTTCATTGGCCTACGAGCAACTTTTAGAATAAATATTCATTGATGTGGTAAATACAACTGAAATATTAGTGTGTTTAAAAATAAATGTTTTAAGAAAATCTGAAGTGTCCCTAAACACTTTAAAAACAGAATTCTGGGGAAAACTTTATAATGCATATCTACTCAACATATTTATTGAGAGTCAACATATTTGTCTTTTCATATCAACTAGCCATAGAGCCATTTCTAAAAGCAATGTGAAGTTACACTGTTGGGTTCTCATTCAAGGGAACAGGAAGGGACTTTTTAAGATTATCCATCTCACTTCCATATACAAGAAGCTAATACCGAGAGGTGCTCATTGAATGGCTGGCTTTAAAAAATGAGGGTCTATCTTGTTCACAAACTGTGTTTTACGTAACTCATACTTCTCAGGAATTTTCTTTAATATTTATGCTTTAAATATTCTAAAATGCGTATTTTAAAATTTGAAATCGGTTGGTCAGACCATTTGAAGCAACAGAAAGCAAATGCACATTATGAGACATCCATCAAATATAGTATTTGGCACTCAAAAGCATCTTTTTAGTATGTCTTTTTCAAATTTTTCCAGTTAGAAGTTTTCCACAAAGAGTTAGGCTGAAACCCAGGTCATATAAAGCAAAGAGTGTGATTCTTTAGAATAGTTATTAATATATCCAGAACAATTTGGGTAGGTCCCAGCCAGCTTCATCCTAATTCAGAGTCTCCACAAAATTCTATTCCCAATTTGTTTCTGCAGAGTTGCCACCAAAAGTCATGGGTTTTTATTAGCCACAAGTAATCCAATTGACCCCAGGCTCACTAAAAACACAATAAGCACCATAAATTAGGAAAGTGTGTTTGGTTTTGTATCTTCCTTCAGTGGCTGGGGAAAGTTTTATTATATAAAGCAAAGATGGTTTACCAACAAGAACGGTAAAATATGAATGTCTTCAACTATTTTATATATCAGTAACTTACTAGTACTGCAAAAGCCTCAAGAAAACAAATTTTGATAGGAAAGGCTGGGTGTTGTTGGGTTCAGTGAATAGCAAGTCTCTCTTCAAATTAATCCTTGCTTCAATCATTGTTCACGCCAATTTCAGCATTTTTGGAGCTGGAAAAAAACCCTTGGAAATGAGGGATGTTTGGTGATAGAACAGATAACAGATAATCAGAGTTGGAAGGGACCTTATAGGTCATCTAGTCCAACCCCCTGCACAAGCGGGAGACTCTACACCAGGGGTCCCCAACCGCCGGTCCGCGGACTGGTACCGGGCCGCGGAACAACCCTTACCGGGCCGCTGGTTGCTGGGCGCCGCCATCTTTTTTTTGGTAAAAAAGCGCTTCTGGTGAGCTTTTCCGGGTAGAAAGCTCACCGGAAGCGCCTTTTCGTCATAAAAAGATGGCGGCGCCCAGTTGACGCCGGTACCGGGCCGCGGCGCCCAGCTGATGTCGGAACCGGGCCGCGGCGTCGAAAAGGTTGGGGATCCCTGCTCTACACCATTTCTGACAAATGGCAGTCCAATCTCTTCTTGAACGTCTCAAGTGATGGCGCTCCCACAACTTCCGAGGGCAAGCTGTTCCACTGGTTGATTGTTCTCACTGTCAGAAAGTTTCTCCTTATTTCCAGGTTAAATCTCTCCTTGTTCAGTTTCCATCCATTATTCCTTATATTATTCATTATTATATATAATTTGCTTCTTCGCACTATCATCCAGTTTTTGTCCTGCAGAATTATGAGATAAATCTAAAGTTTAGCAAAGGGGCTTCCCATTACAGAGGTTCTTTTTGCTGTAAATTTCTTCACAAGTCAATCCCAAAACAGCAAAGCCATTGACTTTTTAAAAAACTACATTTTAAAAAGTATGCAGCTCAGAACTCTGCATGATGAAATTTGACATACATCTTCCATTTATAAAGATTTACCTTGTCTTGAAAGATCATCTAAATTCTGGTGAAACATTTGAAAGATACATCTACCTGTGTTTTTCCCATACTAAACAGAAGGTAGGTAAAATCTGAGTCTCCCCCCCCCCCCCCCGCTTAATCTAGAAGCCCTGAGTCTGGAATGAATTATATTTGGAGCGATAGGAACTGGATTGGATTATTTCCACTGTTCCAGACTGGATCCCTTAAGAATAATGGATGATTTCTAAATCCAGTATTTCTTCTTAATTCAGTAATAGCAAATAGCAGTGTGATAGTAAACTCACATGATCAACAATGATATCTGACCTATTCACTACTATTACTTTGTTCCAGGTCCAGATATACGAGATTGAGGGGCACAAAATTGAAACTTGGAGAGGTAAGTGGGGTTTCCGTCAAAGAAATTGAATATCATAAATGCAGTTTAACATTCTTAACATTAGTTAACATCATCACATATTTGAATGTTATATTTATATCTATTTACTTGCATCAATCTTAGATTAAAACCATTCTTTAAATTCAGATTTAAATTGTCTAATCATCCAATATTCTTTTAGTAAGCAAACGGTGGGTATTATTTGGCTATGTACTGATAATGATTATTTGTTCTGTTTTCACTGGCTCAAAATTGACTCATCCTTTCATCCTTCTGAGGTGGGTAAAATGAGGACCCAGATTGTTGGGGGCAATAGGCTGACTCTGTAAACTGCTTTAGAGAGCTGCAAAGCACTGTGAAACAGTATATAAGACTATTCTAAGTGCTATTACTATTAGTTTCATGCTATACCTACACCCTTTCTTCACTTTTTCTATGCTGGTTTTACAGTCTGGTTTTTGTTATTCTCCCAAGTTTATATAGGCTACTAGTGCTGGTCTGTTATTATCCTAAATTTATTTTGAAAGATATAGAAATTCTACTGCATATAAGCAGGCAATCTGGCAAATTCAGCTTGTATTGTTGATAGAATCTGTTCTTATTACATTATCAACTGCATTTATTAACTATATGCTATCCATCTGTCTCCCTTTCTCCCCAGAGGTGTATTTGCAGGGTTCCTTCAAGCCTTTGGTGCATATTTCTCCAAACCACAGGTAGGTCAAGCATTTCCCAGATAGGCAAGAGCAGGAAAGCATGCTATTTTTGTAAGAGGTTTGCCAACCTTCATTCTCACCACCTAATGCAAAAAGTTTCACTCCGCCACATACTACAAAACCCTTGTCACTTTGTGGCTGTCAAAAAGAAATCAGAGAGATGTCTGATAATGTGGGATATTTCACACACACACACACACACACACACACACACACACACACACACAGATCCAGGGATACCCTAATACCGGGGTCTCCAACCTTGGCAACTTTAAGACTTGTGGACTTCAACTCCCAGAACTCTCCTCGGCCAGCAAAGCTTGAAGTTGAAGTCCACAAGTCTTAAAGTTGCCATGGTTGGAGACCCCTGTCCTAGTAGAATCTATGATACTTTATAACTTTATCAGCTGATAACAGGCAGGAAAAAAAATTGATGCTTTACCAATCATCTCTTAACCCCAAAACATTTATTTTTCCTAGTTGAATACAGGTATCCACAGCTGGGACCAGAAGTTTCATTGCTAAGCAAGGTGATAGTTAAATGAATTTCACTCAAAAAGTTTAGGATATATTTTGCCACATTTATTAAGTGGATCATTCAGTCATTTAGTAAATCTGACTTCCCCTGTTAACTTTGCTTGATGGAAGCCAGCTGGGAAGGTCACAAATAGTCATTGCATGACCCAAGGATGATGCGACCATTGGGAGTACATGCCGGTTATCGAGCATCCAAATTTTGATCATGTGGTCATCGGGATGCTGTGACGGTCAACGGTATGAGGGGCAGTCATATGTCACTTTTTTCGCTGCAGTTCGTAACTTCGAATGGTTGCTAAACGAATAGTTGCAAGTCAAGGACTATCTGTACTCCAAGATTCTTTCCATAACGGGGAATAACTCACCTGTATTCCTTCACATACTCCTCCATTCTGAAGCTTGTCCATGCTCCTGAATCCCCTGGAGGAGACTGTCCAGAGATGAGGACTTAGACTTGGACCTTAACTTTATTGTCACTTTGAATGTACATTAATCGGCATACATTAAAATGAAATTACGTTGCATACGGCTCTCAAAGCATCTCCACTTCTAATATAAACTTAAACATGACGGGATAAATAAATACAAAATTATACCCACATATTATATTATACGACACAGATAAACAACACGGATAAATAAACTCTAGTTTGGAGGCATATATGTACATGACGAGAGAAACAAACCTTGCAAGTTTACCAGATGGATAGCATAGGGAACAAAGCCATTACAGAATCTGGAAGTCCTGCTAGAAATACTTTGAAACCTTCTCCCGGAAGGGAGCGACAGAAACAGCAAGAGGAGGTTTCCCAGTCCATCCCTGTTGTGGTTAGCTGGCAGCAGGTGCGGACGGTTGAGGAGAGCGAGGACTCAGATGAGGGGCTAGGACCATTAGGGAGTGGACTGCTGCCTTCAGTGATTGTGGGGGCTGGCAACAGTGATGAGGAGGTTCCCGAGGAGCCCGTGCTAAGGGTTAGGGTTAGGGCTGCTCGCAGGAAAGAGCAGCAGCAGCAGCATGGGCAACTCGGGAGTAAGGCTGCAAGGTAATGGCCCCTCCTTCAAGAAGATAAAAGCCAGCTGTGAAGTGAATGTTCTTTGCAGGAAGCAAAAACGTTTTGAAACTCCAGCCTCGTGGACATTGCAGTATCTTAAGTTGATATTTGAAGACTCTTGTGTTGTTAAATAGTTCTTATCTATTATTCTTGGCAGCCTCACAGTTTTGGCGACGCTCGTGCTTATCAAAGTTAATTAGTTTGCAGCAGCCTTTTAACCGGATATTCGTAAGAATCATTAAAAGGTTTCTATTCCCTTTGGTTTGTATTTGTTTTATTGGAAAAGGGTTTGGGTCAGAACAATCCCGAGGAACATCAGTAGTGAGATCCTACCTTAGTCACTACTGGTTCGGTGGGTGATCCCATGTGCACATGCGCATGTGCACACCCCTAATGCGCGCATCCCTAACAAGCCAATCAGCTGAGAGGATGAAAAAACGAAAAGCTAGGACCAGGGGTGGGATTCTACCAATTCGCACCTATTCACTATTCGCTAAAACAGGTTGTTAAAATTCTAAGCAGTTCGGAGAACCAGTTGTTAGAAGAAATTACTGGCCTAAGGCAGGAAGGCCTTCCAATTACTGGAAGGCAGGAAGGAAACATTCTGGTGTTGCTTACAGAAACTGCCTCTCCATTAACCCTTATTACATTCTTGGCTGGACTAGACTTCCTGTCTCAGAAACGTCTCTGCAGTTTTTTTCCCCTCCTTTCCTGGTACTTTGCTTGTGTGGAGTGACCATTGAAAAAAATGATTTATGACCGTTTTTCATACTTACGACTGTTGCAGCATCCCCACAGTCATAAGAGGCCAGGTGAGGAGATGCGTGCCTCGATGTGAGTGATGTTGAGTTGGCCACGCCCAGCCAGTAACGTGACCTCCAAGCCACGCCCACCAACTAAGCCATGCCCACAGAACCGGTTGTTAAAAAATATGAATCCCACCCCTGGCTAGGACCCTCCCTCCCATGCGCTTTTAGGTCTTTAATCCTCTCAGCTGTTGTGGAGGCTTATTTTCCTCCACTGTTCAGAGGCTTTTTTTTTTACTACCAGTTTGACCGAACCAGTAGCATACCACCACTGAACAACATCACACAGCCTTTTCATGTCTCTCCTTTCTCCCTCTCTTAGCCTCTTTGATGCGGTTTATTCCTTGATTAAGAATAAGATCCACCGACTGCCTGTGATTGATCCCATCTCAGGAAATGTCCTGCACATCCTGACCCACAAGCGCATCCTCAAATTTCTGCACATCTTTGTGAGTGCTGGGAAGGTCTAGGAAGCCCGGAGTGCTGCTGCTGTGTGATGACTCTACTGAATTCGTTCCTTAAGGGTTTGTTTGTCAACCTGCACTGGCCATGCTCACGGTGCTTTTAAAAAGTTGAGAGAAAACTTTTTCTTGGGTTGAGCTCAAAAACTGGCACACAAATCTCTTCCGCCTTTCAAGGTGTTCCCAGTTTGAAACAGGGACAGGGTGGAATGAAAGATGGAGGAGGGTAAAGTTGTTGCCTATATTTAAAACTTGGCTACTTGGAGAAAAAGTGGAGAAAGGGTTAGAGTGGCATTTAGCTTATTACGTGCAGGATGTAGAATGGAGGGAGCCAGTACATATGGAGGGAGGTAAAACAGTCACGATAGAAATGGCCTTATGTGGTTGTAGCCTTTATATCTTCTATTCCACAGCATTTGGATCTGGTCTTTCATGAAAATCTCAGTACACTGCTATAGTTATGAGCTGAAAGTATATTGCTGGCTAAAAGCTCTTTTGTGAAAGAAAGGTTGAGCGCAGAATTAAATTTTTCCTCTTCACTGAATTCAGAATCATAGGCAAGCCATTGTAGCAAGCCATGCTGGTTGAGAATTCTGGGAGTTGACATCTTAAAGTTGCCAGTGTTGGACAACCCTGTTCTTTTATGATTATTATTTTTTAATTACACATCTCTATTTACATTGTTAACAGTATTGTGTCATCAATAATACATATATTTACATTTATTCCTATACATTAATCCTTATTCCTGTGTTCTATGTCAGTGATAGCTAACCTTTTCAGCACCGAGTGCACAAAGTGCACGCACACCCCGAAAAAACAATGTGTGTGCATGTCCCCCACACATGCGCATGTGCCCTATGCACATGCATGATAGAGACCCGAAGACCAGGTGGCTGGCAGGAGACATGCACGCATGCGCAGTGGAGCTGAGTTGAGGCGATGGTTCACATGCCCAAAGAGAGGGCTCTGAGTGCTACCTCTGGCGTGCGTGCCATAGGATCGCTATCACAGTTCTATCCATTTATACCATCTATCCCAAACTGCATAATATTCTGATTCCTCCTTGCCTTTTAGTTCTGTTGTAAGTTTATCCATCTCAGCACAATCTAGTATTTTTTGTTCTAAATGTTTTTTTTTCTTCCCAGAGCCAATTAATTCTCTGTCTTTTCTTATTTTATCCCTGAAGGGAGTTTGATCAGGCTAGGAGAGCTCACCTTGAGTAAGATTGCTAATGTTTTGGAAGGAGAACAAAGAAATAAGTGGTATAGCACTGAAGTAATCATTGAAGCTGTAGAATAAGGATTGAGAGGTAGATCTGTATACCCTTAAATTAAACTTGGTTTGATGATCATGGTATTATTTTAGGTGAATTGAAGACAGATTGGAGAATCAATTATTACTGCCTTTTGATGAACCCCTCCTATTTTGGTGTCTTTCTCTCCTATGCTAGTTGATCCTTTTTTAAAAAAATTTGGTTTGTCAATTGCTTACAAGATAATAGGTATAAGTAAAAACATAGTTATGAATACATGGATACATATATATATTATTCAGCTTTGCTCGGGTATTTTCCCATGTCATTGTAGTTGTGCTTTTAAAGTTGTAGCAATGTTTCGGCAGAATCTCATCTGCCATCATCAGGCTTCTGTATTGTGTTCGTCTTCCCAGAAGAAACAATAGGACAGGGACGGTAAGCACGTTGGTGTGCTTATGCACACCCCCTACAGATCTCTTAGGAAAGAGGTGAGGTCAATAGTAGAAAGTCTAAGGTTAAAGTTTTTGGGGTTTGGGGAAGAAATCACAGTCAGGTAGAGTATTCCAGACATTGACCACTCTGTTGCTGAAGTCGTATTTCCTGCAATCGAGTTTGGTGCGATTAACCTTGAGTTTGTATCTATTGTTTGCTCTTGTCTTGTTATGGTTGAAGCTGAAGTATTCATTGACAGGTAGGACATTGCAATGTATGATTTTATATACTATACTTAGATCGGACCGAAGGCGGCATAGTTCTAGGTTTTCTAGGTCTAGAATTTAAAGTCTGGTGGCATAAGGTATTCTGCAACGAGTAGAGGAGTAGAGAACTCTTCTTGTGAAATATTTCTGGACTTTCTCAACTGTGTTAATATCAGATACGTAATGTGGGTTCCAGACTGATGAGCTGTATTCGAGTATTGGTCTAGCAAATGTTTTGTATGCTCTAGTTAGTAGTGTAATATTACCAGAGAAAAAGCTACGTAAGATTAGGTTAACAACTCTTAATGCCTTTTTGGCTATGTAGTTACAGTGGGCTCTAGCACTTAGATCATTAGAGAAGAGTACTCCAAGGTCCTTGACAGAGTTTGAATCATCAACAAGGTCTTGACTGTTCAGCCTATATTTTATTTTCTGATTTTTTTTGGCCAATATGTAAGACAGAGCATTTGTTTGTTGAGATTTGAAGTTGCCATTTGTTTGACCATTCTGATACATAGTTGAGGTCTTTTTGAAGAGTAGCAGTATTGTCGGTGGTGTTGAATAGCTTTACATCGTCAGTGAAGAGGACGCAGTTGCTCTTAATATGATCACAGAGGTCATTTATGTAGAGTATGAAGAGAACACTGTCCTAGAACACTGCCTTGGGGGACACCAATGTTGACAGGTACAGAATTTGATAGGATGTTCCCAATTTTGACTATTTGTTGTCTGTTTGACAGGAATGCTTCTATCCAGTTATGCAGGTGTCCAGAGATACCATAAGATTTTCGTTTTAGGAGTAGTTTGTCGTGTACCACTGAATCAAAGGCTCTATGTAGATTGCGTCTATTGCTTTGCCCTGATCGAGTTGTGTAGTCCATATGTTTTTGCAGCGTAAGAGTTGCAGATTGCAGGATAGTTTTTTTCTGAAACCAAATTGTTTATTAGAGAGTAGGTTGTTTGTTTCTAAGTGGAGGATGATGGGTTGGTTAATAATTGATTCCATGACTTTACAGGTGACGCAGCATAAGGAGATTGGTCTGTAATTTTCAACTAGGCTGGGGTCTCCCTTTTTGAAGATGGGGATGACCGTGGCTTGTGACCATAGTTTTGGCAAGGAGCTGGTCCTGAAAGATTTTTCAAACATTATGCTTAGAAGTTTGGCTAGGGCAGTGGATAGCTTTTTTAAGAAGTAGGCACATATTCCGTCTGGTCCAATAGATAGAGATGGTTTTAGATTGCGCAGTGCTTTTTCAGCATTGTCTTCTGTAAAATCGATATGTATTAGATCATTGTAGTTGTCTGTGGTTCGACTAGGAAATACTGGGCATGATCCTGCAGGCTTCCTTGGCGATATCATTGCTCTGAATCAGAACTAGTCAGCCAGGAACTGCCACCATGAACTTCCATTTGTTCAAAGACTGCCTCTGACTCAGGAGCATTATGAGAATTAAAATAGTGGCTCCCAAGTGGAGGCCTAAACAAGGTACTTTGTAGCTGCCTGAGATTGCCATATGCCAATGGGAACATCGAGGGAATTTGTCTTTTGCTAGCTTTTTAGATTCAGAGATATTTGTATCATTTGTATTTACTGGCCTCCATTGTGAGCAAAGAAGGTTGGAGCTGGCTTCCACAAGTATTGTGGTTCGCCGGCAGCCTGTGCAGACGGCAGCAGAATCGGACAGTGGGGAAGAATGGGAACCAGTCCGGGAGTCTGGAGAGGACTCTGACGGGGGTCCTGCATCCGATGCAGAGATGGGGTCAAGGACCATCTGGGAGTTGTGTGCTGACTCCGGAGCCTCCAGAATCTGGCAGCAGCGAGGCTGAGGAACAAGGGGAGCCTGTTCCCAGTGTGCGTGTGCGCTGAGCTGCTAGAAGGCAAGAGCAGCTGAGACAAAAGGGGCAACTTGGGAGTAAGGCTTGGAGGTGATTGCCCTTCGCCTAAGGTAGAAAGCAAAGTTGTTCGTTCTGTTTAGATTAATCCTTGAAGCTCTGTGTGGACTTTGTACTTTGGTTGGATTTTACAATTCCTTTGGCACTCTAGTTGTTGGCAGCAATTTAAAGGAAAGAAAGGTGGGTGTTTATCTCAAAGGGACTGTTTGGGACTTATTACCAGCTGGTAATTAACATCATTCCCAGTGTTGAAATAAAACAAGAGTTGTTTTAACTAAGCATGTGCTTAATTACAGTCTCGGGAAGCTTTGGTCAACAATAATCCTCTCTTTTTCTCATTGCAGGGAGCCATGCTTCCAAAGCCACGCTTCTTCCAGAAAACCATCCATGAGCTGGGCATTGGTACTTTTCGTGACATTGCTATAGTGTTAGACTCCGCTCCTATCTACACAGCTCTGGAGATTTTTGTGGACCGCAGAGTCTCGGCGCTGCCTGTGGTTAATGAAAAAGGTGTGAGGAAATCTCTGGCTGCTTATCCCATCTTTGCTATGTTACCTGAATCCTGACCCGCTTTCTCACATGCTTCAAGCACAGCTAATGCAGCTCTTTCTTTTTACAGAATCATAAAATTGAAAGGTACCTCAGAGGAAACCTAGTTCAAATCTGTTAAAGCATTTCAGATGGATGGCTACCCACCCTCTGTTTAAAGACCTCTAGTAAGGGAAATATTTCACTTCATCAGGCATTCTGTTTTATCAGTTGACAACACTTACTAGGATTATTAGGAAGAAATGCCCCCTAACTATCATAACCTGATTTTACACCCCCATAGTTTCAGTGCATTGGTTCTATTCCTCCCCTCCGGAGTGGCAAATAACAAGACCTACTCCCTCCTCTGTGTGACAGCCCTTTAAATATTTGGAAGACAGATATCATATCTCCTCCTCAATTTTCTCTAATTGCATCCATTTTCTTTAAAGGGCTGATTAATTGTCGTAATTATGAGGCTTAGCTTGCCAATATTTTATTATCACACACGACAACGTCAGTATGCTTGTTATAATCTATTTTTCTGGCCCAGGTCCATCTCCTTTTCCCCTCCACTCAGTACAGTATTATACTGTAGTTCTGGAGCTCTTCAATTTGTTGCTGATTTATATTTGGGCTGCTCTCCCTTTATATTTACTTCCCAGAATTATCACATTTCATTATCCCTTTGCTTTCTGTATGAGTTATGATGCTGTCTTCAGGATATCCAGTTGTGGACTAAATAGCTAGAATGAGGGGTGCTAGAGCTTGATGCTAGTTCACAGCATAAATGAGAGCCAGTTTGGTCTAGTGGTTAAAGCATCAGGCTAGGAAGAAGGGAATCTTGAGTTCAAGTGCTGTCTTGGCCGTGAAAGTTAGCTGGACTTTGGACCAGTGACTTTTTCTGCCTTGCAAGGTTTTTGTTGTGGGAGGAAGATGTGTTGGATATGTTCGCTGCCTTGACTTATTTATAATAAAATAATAATAATGTCAGGATACAAATACATAAAAATAAATAACCCTATGTGTTAGGTCGTGGGAAAAGAGACTCGAGACCAGGGTGACTTTCAGCTCTTTATTTAGTTCCTAAAATCCGTCTTAACCGGGGAGCCGCGGCAGCCTCTTTTATTGACGGCTGCTCGCGGCTAACGGCCAATGATGGCTCCTTGAATCTCCCGCCGTCCAGACGGGCCAATCATAGAGTAGGGATACTGTCCAATCAAAATGAGGTAATTGGGCCAATCAGCGAGCTGCCCTGGTGGGCCAATCAGAGTACAGGATTTCAAGTATGTTAATATATAACACTATGGATCTCTACTTAAAATGAGCCCAGTTAGTTAGTTTATTTTATTGATTATCAAAGGATCCAGTTCCGTAGGTCTTTTCAGCTATACGGCTGCATCTTAGACTGGATTTGGGCTTATTACTTTCAGATAGAGAGATGTGTTTCAGAACAATCTTTTGGGACTTTTAACACCATGAAAAATAAAGTTGGTCTCTGTCTGCTGGCTACCTGACATTATCAGGTAAATAGAGGAGATCTTTTGCCATTTCATGATGGAATTGCAACCTCTCCTCCCAACATTTTGGATGATGGTGATTAATAAGATGTGTAGTGATGATTTAATGAAAATGCATCTTCTTTAACCCTGTTTTAAGCTAAACTAATCCTTAACTCTGTTAATAGTTGCTAAGCTCCTATTTGGCAAATACTGAAAAGGGGGGAATTCCTTCATAAAATATACAGTAGAGATAACTTTTGGCTAAGTTGGTAATGTTAATTTTCCATTCTTAACTTCAAGCTGTAAGGCAGGCCTAGAAATTCATGATGAAATTGTGAAAGCATGTTTTTTGTCAGGTTTGCTGCAGGAAAATATGAATTTTGTGTGGTAAGTAAGTTTCTAAAAAGTTTCTGTGATAACGTTTGTGTATATGGCATCTTTTAATTCATTACACCTGGAGAGATTCCTGACCTACTGTTCCCTTCTGTTTCTTATGTAGGAACGGTAGTTGGCCTCTATTCCCGCTTTGATGTGATTGTAAGTATGGGGCAGTTATTCTTCCAGGTTCAGAGACGGTCTGATAAAACAGAAGTACTGTCTTTCCCCTAAAAGGAAGTCATTCCCAGATTTAAGATTTGCCCCACCCCCAGCTATAGATTAAAAAAAAAACTTCCTTTACCATTTTTTTTTTTTTTGCAGGAAAAACACCCCTTAAGATAACTCTCATTTTATAGATAAATTATTTTGGAAATTTTTGGGGGGATAAATACACTAAGGAGGACTAATCTAGCAAGAGTTCACATACAAAATAAAACCTGTATGTTTATGTGATGGGAAAACAGCAATTCTTAACTAATGGTAAGAGAAAGGTATATGCCGATCACCTTTAAGACAGGAAAACACATTTAATTAACTCCTGCATTTTGGAGAAGCAGTGCAAGAACAATGCCTCCAGATGAGGCTTCTGTTATTGCCTGTCCCATTCATGGAATTCTACAGTGATCTAGATGAATAATCCTTTTTACTAGGGTAGATTTATTTCCATGGAATAGTTGTTATACAGTGACTGGGTTCACTTATCACAGTAGAACATATTGTGTAGTTTGATTGTGGCTTATCATGTTGGATGAACCCAGCCATTGGGGTCCTAAAGCTGTCACTTAAAATGTTACAAGCCAGCCAATCATAGTTCATGTAATAAACCCATAGCTAAGCAAACCATGGCTCAATGTGACATATGAGCGTACCATGAATTAGTGTGTCAATATGAGGTGACTGTGCTTGCAGGGATGCATCATGCACAGGCCATGCCCAACCCAGCTCCACAAAGGCAAAAAGGGTTACGATACTTCACATGACATGATTGAGTTTGATACCCGTGTGCTAAGGCCTTGCTTCAAAGATTTTGAAGTGTCTCTCAGCATAAAAATGTGCGTTCATGGTAGCCATAATGCAGTAATGCCCTGCTCCCTCTTTGCTCCAAACTCCTCCTCTCCACTTGCTCTCCATAGCATCTGGCTGCCCAGAAGTCTTACAACAACCTGGACATTAGTGTGGGGGAAGCCCTGAAACAGCGCTCAGTCTGCCTAGAAGGGGTCCTTACATGCCATCCCCATGAAACTCTAGAAGACATAATTGATCGTATTGCCAAAGAGCAGGTATGGCTCCAGCATTGTAAGTAGGAGCGGGCAATGGGTTGGCTGAATTCATGTCCTTCTTTCTCCAGATGTCCTCAATATGTGTCTCCTTCAGATCCAAAGCCTTTAAAAAAAATTTTTTTAAAAAAAAATTGAGCCCAAAATTTCTGTTGTTAAGCAAGACACTTCTTAAGTGAGTTTTGCCCTATTTTACGACCTTTTCTTGCCACGGGTGTTAAGTAAACCACTACAATTATTATAACAAGGTTGTTAAGTGAATCTGGCTTCTCCATTGACTTTTCTTGTCAGAAGATCATAAAAGGTGATCACATGACCCTGGGACACGGCAACCATCATAAACATGAGCCAGTGGTCAAGAGTCTGAATTTTGATCATGTGACCATGGGGATGCTGCAGTGGTTTTGTAAGTGTCAAAAGCAGTCGTAAGTCACTTTTTTCAGTGACGCTGTAGAACAGTCGTTAAATGAATGGTCAAGGAGTACCTGTATTAGCTCCAGCTGGGATCCTTATAATGAGAGCAATATAAGAAAACATGGGATAATGTTTCAGGAACTCCTTCACCCAGGGACAACATTCTTTTTTAAACAGCGTAATTGGTAACCCTATAATTTGGTTTAGAAAAGAGCACCCCATGCTTTCTTTTGGCCCAGGGCATCTGATCTTTTCTAGCTCACTGGAGATGACAGTGATGCAGTAAGGCCTACCTGAGGCTCCACCATATGTATTTGCATATACTTCTCACCTACTTTTTGCACAGTGCCCCAATTCCTAAACAGACTGTGCTAAACACTGTAATTTCACTTCTATGAATGGCATCTTGTCTGTCTGGTATCTAAAACTCATCTTTGCTGTCCTGTTCCTACTTTTGCCATGATGGTGTTCGGCTCACTCGTTGGGTAGGTCCATCGCCTGGTTCTGGTGGATAAGAAGAACACTCCGCGGGGGATCGTGTCCCTCTCAGATATTCTCCAAGCCTTGGTGCTCACACCCGCAGGTATCGATGCCCTAAACTCTTAGCTGGCCGACGCTCCATCCTTCTTCCATTTGTACCCTCCATTTCCTCCACTTCTCTCCAGCTCAGGTAGGCCCCAGGCCTTGGCTTCCTCAGCCTGTTTCCTGCTGCTGCTGCTGTTGCTCATTTTTTTAAAACTTGCTGCTGGGTTTCTCATGTCCATCTGATCAAGACAGGTCTGTATTTCTACTCCATCAAGCTCCGTTCTCGTGGCTTGGAAGGAAGGCTGGTGCACTGCAGTGGAGTTATAGGAGCGATTTAGGAATTTCTGTGGGGGGAGGGAGCAGCACTGACTCAAAAGGACACAATCCCATCTTCTAATTTGATGATAATTGAAGGATTCCAAAATTAAATATAAGCTTTTAAGTTTGGTTGCTTTTCTTTTAGCCTTGTGGATTTTCTTGTGTTCATTTTCTGATTGCATTAATGCAGACTGATAGACACAGGGATTTGTAGCAAGTGAGATAATTAAGGGTTTTGGATTGTTCTGCTGAAGGCAACAATCCACACAGGAAAACTCTGTGTGTGTGTGTGTGTGTGTGTTTGAAAGAGAGAGAGGGAAGGGGGGGGGAGAGAGAGTGGGGAGGGAGGGTGTGAGAGAGGGTGTGTGTGTGTGTGAGAGAGAGATTTCTTTAGTTCTGCCTAGTACTAATAAATTAGTTGCATTGTCTATCCATTTTTCAGTAACAAAGGAAGTTACAGCTACAAAAAGAATCAGGGATAGGATTCAATTCTTTTAACAACCGGTTCTGTGAGCATGTTTTTTTTTTTTTTTTTTTGCACACACATACCCCAGTTTTTTGGGCCTTCTGGGCCTCTGGGAAGCTTCATGCGTTTTTGCTCCCAGGAAGTTTCCCTGGCGCCCAGGAAGGCAAAAAATGGAGCACAGGCAGGGGCGAGATTCTACCAGTTTGCACCTATTCGCTAGAACCGGTTGTTAACATTCTAAGCAGTTCGGAGAACCGGTTATTAGAAGAAATTACTGGCCTAATCCTGTAAGGAAGGCAGGAAGGAAACATTCTGGTGTTGCTTATAGAAACTGCCTCTCCGTTAACCCTTATTACATTCTTGGCAGGACTAGACTTCCTGTCTCAGGAACTTCTATGTGGAGTTTTTTTCTCCTCCTTTGCTGGTACTTTGCTTGTGTGGAGTGACCATTCAAAGTTACAATGGCACTGAAAAAAGTGACTTATGACCATTTTTCACACTTACGACTATTGCAGCATCCCCACAGTCATGAGAAGCCAGGCAAGGAGATGCGTGCCTTGAGGTGAGTGATGTTGAGTTGGCCACGCCCAGCCAATAACATGACCACCAAGCCACACCCACCGAGTCACATGACTACCAAGTCATGCCCACCACCTAAGCCACACCCACAGAACCGGTTGTTAAAAATTTGAATCCCATCCCTGAGCGCAGGGTGTGTGTGTGTGTGTGTGTGTGTTTTTGTGTGTCCCCTCCATGTTTTGCCTTCCTGGGCCTCAGGGAGGCCTCCTGAGTGAAACAATAAGACAGGAGGGGAATCCTGGCACAGCTGATCATAGGAATAGCTGATGGTCAGGAGGTAAAAAAACAAAGAAATACCTTAAGGAGTGATTGAGCTGGGAAGAACCCACTCAGCGATGTCAGGTATGCGCACGATGTTGCACATGCATGATAAGGACTGGGACGGGAGGGGAGGGGCCAGCCAGGGGCATGTTTTGCTGGTTCTCTAAACTACGCAGAATGATAACAATGGTTCTATAGAACCAGTCTGAACCGGTAGAATCCTACCCTTGAAAAGAATCCATGGAACCTTCCACCTTCTTCCTTGAAATTCCCATTAATGCTTGGTGCAGAAGTGCCTCTTGTAGTGCATAGCTCTGGACAGTCTTGGCTATCTCTTGCTTGTGAAGCAGTGGTCCCACAGGAAATGTTAAAAAAAGAATGCCTCTCAAGAAAGCTGCATCATTTTAGCTGTAAGGGTTATCATGAGAATTCGGCCATGTGCATATATAAGCTGTCCCACCTGAAAGCTTTTTCTTGCCTTGTTCCACCGTGCTTGATTTTGAATGAGCCTGATTGAGCCTTTGACTTTGATTTTTTTGCTGCTGCCATCAATCCAAAGTTAGCAATATTTGTGCCCATCTGTATTTGTGTGCTCAGCTGGCTGGCATAGATTTGAATATAGAATTTGTCTATTAGTAACAATTCAGCTGGCAATTCCCAAGATGTCCTTCTACTTTCCCAAATGTCAAGGCTTCTACTAGACCTAGAGATAAGGAGGCAGAATTTCATGGATTTCTCTAGGAATACACATTCTTTCTCTTAAAAAAAACTTTTAAAAAAATAGTTTTTATTACGGTAGTTTATAATATATGCTGCTCAAAAAAATAAAGGGAACACAAAAATAAGACATCCTAGATCTGAATGAATGAAATATTCTTATTAAATACTTTGTTCATTACATAGTTGAATGTGCTGACAACAAAATCACATAAAAATTATCAATGGAAATCAAATTTAGCAACCCATGGAGGTCTGAATTTGGAGTTACACTCAAAATTAAAGTGGAAAAAACACTACAGGCTGATCCAACTTTGATGTAATGTCCTTAAAACAAGTCAAAATGAGGCTCAGTACTGTGTGTGGCCTCCACGTGCCTGTATCACCTCCCTACAATGCCTGGGCATGCTCCTGATGAGGTGGCAGATGGTCTCCTGAGGGATCTCCTCCCACACCTGAACTAAAGCATCCCCCAACTCCTGGACAGTCTGTGGTGCAACGTGGCGTTGGTGGATGGAGCGAGATATGATGTCCCAGATGTGCTCAATTGGATTCAGGTCTAGGGAATGGGCGGGCCAGTCCATAGCATCAATGCCTTCGTCTTGCAGGAACTGCTGACCCACTCCAGCCACATGAAATCTAGCATTGTCTTGCATTAGGAGGAACCCAGGGCCAACCGCACCAGCATATGGTCTCACAAGGGGTCTGAGGATCTCATCTCGGTACCTAATGGCAGTCAGGCTACCTCTGGCAAGCACATGGAGGGCTGTGCGGCCCCCTAAAGAAATGCCACCCGACACCATTACTGACCCACTGCCAAACCAGTCATGCTGGAGGATGTTGCAGGCAGCAGAACGTTCTCCACGGCGTCTCCAGACCCTGTCACGTCTGTCACATGTGCTCAGTTGAACCTGCTTTCATCTGTGAAGAGCACAGGGCGCCAGTGGCAAATTTGCCAGTCTTGCTGTTCTTTGGCAAATGCCAAATGTTCTGCACAGTGTTGGGCTATAAGCACAACCCCCACCTGTGGACGTCGGGCCCTCATACCACCCTCATGCAGTCTGTTTCTGACCATTTGAGCAGCCACATGCACATTTGTGGCCCGCTGGAGGTCATTTTGCAGGGCTCTGGCAGTGCTCCTCCTGTCCCTCCTTGCACAAAGGCGGAGGTAGCAGTCCTGATGCTGGGTTGTTGTCCTCCTACGGCCTCCACGTCTCCTGATGTACTGGCCTGTCTCCTGGTAGCACCTCCATGCTCTGGACACTACGCTGACAGACACAGCAAACCTTCTTGCCACAGCTCGCATTGATGTGCCATCCTGGATGAGCTGCACTACCTGAGCCACTTGTGTGGGTTGTAGACTCCGTCTCATGCTACCACTAGAGTGAAAGCACCACCAGCATTCAAAAGTGACCAAACCATCAGCCAGAAAGCATAGGAACTGAACAGTGGTCTGTGGTCACCACCTGCAGAACCACTCCTTTATTGGGGATGTCTTGCTAACTGCCTATGCTTTCCACCTGTTCTCTATTCCATTTGCACAACAGCATGTGAAATTGATTGTCAATCAGTGTTGCTACCTAAGTGGACAGTTTGATTTCACAAAAGTGTGATTGACTTGGAGTTACATTGTGTTGTTTAAGTGTTCCCTTTATTTTTTTGAGCAGTGTATAATACAAAAATACGAATGCATACTTTCTCAAATACAAGGGAAAAGCATGGATAGAAATGCTGCTTAAGCATTATCTTTTCTTTATAAACATCCTTATTTGAAAATTTCCTTGTTAAGCTTTCATTTTATATTCCAACACAATTCTCAAAAGAGAGGTAAAACTAGGAGGGCTATAACAAATGTCTTTCTCAGTTATTCTTGGAGTTTCGCGTTGATTCACAGTTTAATGAAGTCAGCAGATATGTGATGCATTTAATTAAAGCAAAATCTAGGACTGTAGCCAATATTGCTGATTGGAAACTCTGCTCTGATTTTCTTTGAGGGACTAGCTGTAATTATAGGTGATTTATACTTGCAAGTTGTCACATTAAAGTTGTTTTAGGACTATGTTTATTCTGCTGGAGCACTGTAATGAGATTACAGTAGAATAAAGCTTGCTCAGTTCCACTTCATTTTTAAAACTCAAAATTCCATCTTTCAGAATCTGGAATGAAAGATAAATCCCAGAGACCTGTCTGACAAAACCCTGTACTTCAATTCCTGGAAGCTGTAATTAAGAATGTTAATTAACTGAAGCTTTTTATTTGCTAATATAAATATATTTTCATGCTAAATAAATAAAATTAGGTATAAACTGATTTAGATGTGAACCAATTTAGTGGTGAAAGAAAGAAAATCGTGTCTTGCTACAGCTGTTAGTCAGAAACTCTTGACAGTTTCTGCAAATCATCCAATAACCTATAAATACTTCTCCCAATTTTCCTTCTATCTGCTCCTGCTTTACTATGAATTAGCAATTCACGGTAAGCAGACCATATCAGGAATCGAACTCTGCAGAAAAACCAGCATTGTACTTCATTGAGATTGACTGTAATAACAGATTCTTGCAAGCCTGCTTGTACTCTTACCTACTCAAGTTAGGGAGAAGCCTATCTAAGCCTCTTCCAAATCCCATCTAGCTTCTCAGGACTGAAGGAAGGTTTCAGCCCACTTTGCTTGCACAAAAGTTATTGCCTATTTCCCTTGAGGGAATCTTCCTGCCTCTGTACACTCTGTAATCTGTTTGCTGTTGCAGTGTATTGATTTTAGTATATCAAAATCCAAGGTCATTATCCTCCTGTGACTTCAGTCTCAAAAAAGTATTTCCTAATGAGCTGATCAGCAAAGGAGATTATTTTTAAATGGGGAAGGGGCGTATATGTACTTAAGGATACTGTTGTAGTAGCCTGACCTGTATTCTCCCTCAGAATTTTTTCAGAAAAGCAACCACGGTTAGGGTCTGTCTGGTGGGATATACTCCTTGCATTGTTTCTCAGAAGTTTCATGTCACTTCAGTAGCCGAAGAGCAGCAAAGAGCTGGCTCATTTCCCACTAGATAACATTAAATTTTATGAATTCCATTCTGCAGGCATCAACTGCTATTCCCTCTGACAGTGTGCAAGGACTCCTGGCTACTTGATCTGCTGCTACTGCATCAATGACTCCTGGGGGGCAGTAAGAGAAGCTCTAACAGCTATGAAGAAGGCCTAGAAGAAGGCCTGACTGCCAGTTCCTTCCTCTCAGTGAACCACGAAAGAGGCCTGAGGGAGGACAAAAGTTCTGACCTCAGAATTGCAAATGGAGGGGGTCACTTCTTTGCCCCCTAAACCAATATACAGGGACTAGTCTGCTACAAGGGTGGGGGGAAGGAGAGGTGTGTATCTTGAACAATGTGTCCATTGTTTGCCTCCTCTTCTTGGCCTCACTTACTGGAAGATTGTATTTGAAAATCGAACACGCTTCAGGGCCTCTTTTGCTTCAGCTGGAAAAAAGATTGCTAGAGACTATGGCTAATGCTTCAGGATAAAGCCCAAAAGGTTATTTACCTTCGATGCAGGAGGTGGATTAATTCTAAGTTAAAGGCAGATTCTACACCAGAGGTCTCATTCTCGCGGCCCGCGGGCCAATTGAAGCCCACAGGACGATATCCTGTGGCCCCCACCGTGATATGAAAGTATAATATTACTGTATAATATAAATATAAAGTATAATATAAAGTATAATATTATGCGGCCCAGCCTCACCCAGACTCTGCCTCCAGGTAAATTGTGTTTGAGACCCCTGTTCTACACCTTGAAAAGGACTAGGCTGAGCTATTTCAGAAAAACCTGCAGGTTTTTTTTTAGTTCTTAAAGTAGGCTCATGTCTTGCTTTGTTATTTCATTGCACTGAACCACTTGGAAGGCAAGGCACAAGACCAGCTTAGGATAATTGTTGTGAGGTAGACAGGACCCTTGTTTGTACACTTTTAGGTCCCTATTCAAAGTATTTTGCCCCATTCTGAAACATAATACTGTCTCCTCAACAGGAGAACAGGGAAGAGGTGGTTTTAGTGTCAGTAATTCATCCTTCCTCTTTAAGCCTGCAGTATAAACCAAGGCTTTGCTTTTGTGCAACTGTAGCACACAGTAAGAAAAGGTTGTGCTAGGAGAGACACAACTTAATGTGGGAGAACTTCCTTCTACAGTAAGTCAGAATACAATTTCTTATTGCTATCACATTTGGGGAAATAAATCTTTCACACTGCTTCCCTTTTTATATAGAATTATAGTTCAATTTTCCAGCTTGTGGCACTTGGTTATTTAAGCAAGGACTAATGGCTGCCTGCCTGGAATGCTACTACAGGAGATTGACTTTAGATATAGGTAGTCCTTGACTTATGACAGTAATGGAGCCTGCCAATTAGTGTTGTGAATCGTGATGGTTGTAAAGCAGGTCATCATGTGACCAGCTTGATTTTAAAGGTTTTTTTTGCACTGGCCATCAAGCAAACACCACAGTCATTAAGTAAACCCATGGTTCACTATGGTGCACTTTTTCCGAAAACTGGAACTAAAGGCTGTTTTGTGGCAAAACCATCTTAAATTGTGAACATGTGACTGCAGGACACTGCAAATGCCCACTAACATGGGCCAGTTTCCAAGTGTCCAAAATGCAGTCATGTGACCATGGGAGGGCAGTCATTAGAATTTTGTAACCGGCTTGTAACCTTGGGGGAAGTCTTTTGTAACTTCAGTCACTATGTGACCAGTTGCAAATCAAAGATTACCTGTAATCCCAAAGGACCCTTTTAAATCTTCTCCAATTTAAGACTCAATATTGTCCCAATCCACTGCTTGTCCTAAACCATGTTGGCTTAACCAAGAAGCCTAAATCTTACTGCTGGAGGTGTGAACTCTGTACAGAGGCATTCTTCAAGCATATGAGGAGCAGAACAGCCCTTAAAGCATTTAGATGAGAGAACTTTCTAGCTAGTAAAAGCCTATACAAAATTATAAAGGTGTAGAATCTCGTTATCAGTTCAACACCACAGCTAAGGCAAATTTGGGTCAACCCTATGGAGAGTGTTGAGCATGCAGTGAGTGACAGTCACAACACTCAAGAGTTGTCTAAAGAATATATAAACTATGATTACTTCAGTCTCCTGGGCAAGTATGTTACCTGCATGACTTCCAAAAGCCTTTATTTAAAGGGGAATAATCTATAAATAATCCATGACACTTTTTGAGTTCTCCAGACTTCTCTTTGCATCATTTGGCGCAATAGCAGAAAAGCCCCCATATTAAGCTAACTGCTGTAGTCATGAGATTGAAAATTAGTGGCTTTATCTTAGTGCCATGCAAAATCTCAAATTAATGCCTCATTCAAGATTGACATCCTTCATTCTCTTGGCTAACCTGAAGGATATGCATTTAATCCAAGGCAAAATTCAGTTTGAAGGTCCTGTCTGATTTTAGTTTTCAGAAAAGGTTGCTTTATTCCATTATACATAAGGTGTCCTCTGCTGCCTATTACAATAAGGTCCCCAAGTCCTAGTTTAGCTCAGTTCTTGACTGAGTTGATCCCACAAAATTTTCTTGTCAACAATATGTATTTGCCATGATAATGTTTTTCAATTTCTCTATTTGACCTGAAGCCCAGTCATTGCCTGATGTCCCCAACTGAGACTTGTGCAATAATTGGGGGATAATTTAAGGTATAACCTCTATTTTCAGATTGTCTTCCTTATTCCTTGCTTTTGTAACACAGGATTGAGAGTATTAGAAAATCTGAGGACATATGCACTCTTACTGCTCCAAAGAAAAGATATTGCCCAACTGTGGATTTTGATTTTCTTCCCAGACATCCTCCATTGTGCATGAGCATTGGCATTTTTATTTTTCTACAGTATATCCCCTGAAAAGAAAATCTGCTTATTTTAAAGAGTCAAAGGCTTCTTTTGTCCAAGAAGATTAGTTGCTAGTACAAATCTGCAATAAAACTGATGTTTCTTTAAAAAGCTGTGTCTTCAGAAAATTTCTTGCCTTCAGTTATAGGAATTACTATTTTTTTCCTCTTTCCTCATCCACATTCCCAACACTAGATAATATTATCAAATTCTGCTATATACATATAATAGATAATAGGACCAAAATGTACAAAAGTGATCATATTTTTGTCCGCCAAATGGATTCCACCTATTGAATCTGCTGATTGCTATAAGTAAATTGACCAAAACAGAACTGAACATTTTCAATTCACCTACAGGTCTACAATGGTGACAGCAGTAGTATGATAGTCAAGGATTCACTCCTTTCTTTTGTCAATCCCTAGTTATGGAAAAAAGATAAACACGATGTTCTTCAGGAAGATCAAAACTCCTCCACAATTAAGAAATAATGATGGATTATTAAATATTTCTGAACTGTGGGAACTCCACTTGAAGTTGAAAGGAGGCTTGCTGGAGAGTGCAAGGCAAGAACGATGCAACCACCAAATGATGAACACACCCTTCATTAGCAATCAGAATAAATTGAGTAGCTCCTTATTTTGGAAGTGGTAAGAATTTCTCCATCTTTTTGGCACGGGGGACATTCCTGTCAGAAGAGAAGAATAAAAAAAGATAAAACAAGAATGAACATGTCCTCTACAATCATACAGTCATTCCACTAATAATGGTGCCGCTGGCAGGCCAAAAAGAGTCCAAATGCAACCCAATGTATAAAGGTTTGGCACTGGATGTGAAGGGACAGGTTTTATACAGTGATCCTTAATACTGAGCATTATGTCACCTTTTCCATTATGGTTTGAGCAATGCCACCATTCCATTACATCTAGCCAAGCTTTATGTTGTCTTTTAGTGTGATACTTACAAAAGTGGCAAAGTTGTGCCCATGCAGTTACGAAGCTTGTTTGGAAAGCAGCCATTTCCTGGACTCAACTGGACAGTGCTGGCCTCTGGGGAAACAAGTGGATGGAAGAGCTGGTCAGGGAAGATTAAGCTCATTCCCTAGTTTACACGCTTTTCAAAATTATCAAAACAGCAATGCTCCCCACTGTATATATTTCAGTTAACTCACCTTGCTCATTCATTACAATGGACTGATGTACTGATGGGACAAGGTTTTCTTGCTCTTCTTCTATAAAATGCTTCCAAAATTTGAATGGCAATGCTAGGAGACGGGAGACAACCTATAGAAAGGAAATAACATCAGCCTCTGTCTACCTCCTAATTCCTCCCCCTTCTTTTTCTCTCCCCCTTGGTTCTTTAGCTGACTCATATCTCAAACTACACACACACACACACACACACACACACACACACACACACCAGGAATTCCATTTAAAGCAGTAAGGTTGATCATAATAGAGAAGAACAATAGAAATAACCACCCAGAGTCACTTCAACAAAGAGATGGATGACATTTAAATTTAATGAATAAATTGTTAATCAAATAATACTTAATGAAATCTCAAAAGCAAAAAAAAGAGGTTAAGAAGAATATTCACTACAACCCACCTACCAAGTCTTGCTTGTTCTCACATTGGAGAGAAGCTATGTTCTCCCAACCCATCCCTCAAGAGATAAGTTACTGCCATACAAAGGAACCAATCCTATAAAATCAGAAACATTTTTGATAAAGACTGAGCATTGTGCAGTGATGAGCCACTGAAAGCTGAAAGAAATCGGAGAGGTCGCGGATGTTACCAGGCACTGGCGTGGTGTGTCTTCCATGATGAGAAGTGGGCTGGGGCTGGGAGTGCTGTGTCCAACTAGCAGCGGTCCAAAGATACGCGCCAAGTTATGGCAGTCCATTCGACAATCAGGGCTCTGCATGACCCTATGGATGGAGAGATGGATCCATGGAAACAGTAACCCATGCTACAGCAAAAGCATTTCTGCTGCATATCATTAGCCATTCCTGATATGTGTACGTTATGGGAAAAACTGCTTCCAACACTACAGTGAAGGATGTGAATTCACATATGAAGCCAGTTTGGTTCAAGGCTAGTATCTAAACCTAGAAATCCTTTTCCTTTAGAATGCTGAAGATATCTACAGACTGAATGAAAACCATAATTTTGCAATAGGAGATCATGAAGTTCGAATGAGTTTTAAAACAGTTATAGGCAGTCCTATACATCTGAAGTTATGACAGCCTTGGAAAGCACTTCTGGCTACCATAAGATGTTGTGGTGCCCCCCTCCCAGTCATGTCACCGCTTTTTAGG